CAATAAGACTCTCTCATTTTTTAATTTCTCTCAGCTTTCCATCGCCTTACGGTGACCGTGAGGGTTTTCACCAATAAGACTCTTTCATTTTTTTCATTTTTCCTGCTTAGACAGGAGTGTTGCCCCTGATATGAATCACACCTCTACTTTCTCGACTTGGCATCTCTCGAGGACTGATCGGAAGGTCTTTCTTTGGACCGTAATGTGGGCTTTTGGATAGGGTTAGAAAGAAAGGATATCACAAAGGCTCAAAACAGCTTGAACGGGTTCAAAATTACAACTTTGGAATCAGATCTCTTACAACAACCACAACTTCTGCCCCAGTTTTTTTGCTTGGGGACTTTTGAAATTTTATTTTGATGGGACCGAACCGTGAGGCTGCCTACGTATCCTTAAAGGGAATAAGGTCGAACATAGTTCATGTCATAGGAATTGCTTTGTTGTTGTTACTTCCCTCTTCTCTTTTTCCTTTCCTTTTCTCTTTTCTTTCTTTTCTCCTTTTTTTCTTTTTTTTTTCTTTTTCCTATTTGTTTTCACTCTTTTCCATTCTTCTCTTTCTCTTTTCTCTTTTTTTTTCTTTACTTATCTTTTGCGTTCGTATTTCTGAATTTTGCTACTGAATCCAAAATAGGGGTATGAAAAGAAATAAGTAAGGCTCAAAGGGGTATCAAAGGATAAAGTGTTTAGATAGCAGAATAAAATACCTTCGTCATTCCAATCTTCAAAATATGCCAAGTACAAACAACAATTAGACAAACCAAAGAAATCATACATAATATCTTTTGACTGCATCCGAATTGATAGCCATATCTACACATTTGCCTTCTATATCTGTTAAATATAAAGCACCATTAGACAACAATCTTGTTACAATGAATGGCCCCTGCCAATTTGGGGCGAACTTGCCTTTCACTTCAGCCTGATGTGGAAGGATGTGTTTCAATATTTGCTGACCCACTTCAAACTTCTGCGGACGCACCTTTTTGTTGTATGCTCTTGCAATTCTTTTTTGATACAACTGTCCATGACACACTGCCGCCAATCTTTTCTCATTAATCAAACTCAATTGATCGAGATGGGTTTTGACCCACTCATCATCATCAATTTCAGCTTCAGCAACAATCCGAAAGGATGGAATTTCAACTTCTGCGGGTATCACTGCTTCAGTGCCATATACCAACAAATAAGGAGTTGCACCTACTGAAGTGTGAACAGTAGTATGATAACCCAATAGAGAAAAGGACAACTTTTCATGCCATTTCCTGGAACCTTGCACCATTTTCCGAAGTATCTTCTTTATGTTCTTGTTGGCTACCTCGACAGCTCCATTCGCCTTGGGGCGGTATGGGCTGAAATTTCGATGCATAATCTTAAACTGTTGACATACCTCTTTCATCAGATGACTGATAAGATTAGCACCATTATCTGTGATGATCACCTTTGGGATTCCAAACCGACAAATGATATTTGAATGAACAAAATCGACCACTGCCTTCTTGGTCACAGATTTGAAAGTTTTAGCTTCAACCCACTTAGTGAAATAGTCAATGGCCACTAGAATGAACCTATGTCAATTGGATGTTGCTGGCTCAATTGGTCTGATGACATCCATACCCCAAGCGACAAAGGGCCATGGTGCAGACATTATGTGCAATTCGGATGGCGGAGAATGAATCAAATCTCCGTGTACTTGACATTGATGACATTTGTGCACAAAACTGATGTAATCATGCTCCATGGTGAGCCAATAATAACCTTCCCGGAGAATTTTCTTTGGCAGAACATATCCACTCATATGCGGCCCGCAGACTCCGGCACGCACTTTGGTCATGATAGTCGTGGCTTGTCTAGCATTTATGCATCTTAACAATCCAAGAACTGGAGTTCTTTTGTACAAAACTCCTCCACTGAAGAAAAACCCACTTGTTAAATGTCGAATTGTTCTCTTTTGATCCCCCGTGGATTGTACCGGATACACCCCCGACTTGATGTACTCCCTGATATCGTGGAACCAAGGTTCACCGTCAAGTTCTTCTTCCACCATGTTACAGTAAGCATGCTGATCATGGACCTGAATATGCAAAGGGTCAATATAAGCCTTATCTGGATGATGTAACATCGACGCTAGAGTAGCTAATAATCAGCAACCTCATTGTGGATCCTAGGTATATGCTTGAACTCCACTGATCTGAACCACTGACAAAGATCTCGCAGACATTGTCGGTATGGTATGAGGTTCAAATCTTGGGTTTTCCATTCTCCCTGAATCTGCTGCACTAAAAGATCTGAATCTTCCAAAACCAACACTTCCGAGACTCACATGTCCACAGCTAACCTTAAACCCAGAATGCACACTTCGTACTCGGCCATGTTGTTGGTACAGGACGAAGCTGAGTAGTGATCGGGTAGTGATGCCATGTTTCAGAAATGAGTACAGCTCCTATCCCAACACCTTTCATATTAGCATCACCATCAAAGAAGAGTTTCCAATCGGGCTTTTCGTCCTTCTCAATCTCGTCAATATGCATTACCTCTTCATCAGGGAAATAAGTCTTCAAAGGTTCATATTCTTCATCCACCGGGTTCTCGGTCAAGTGATCGGCCAAAGCTTGGGCTTTCATCTCCGTCTGAGTCACATATACGATGTCAAACTCTGTGAGCAAAATCTGCCACTTTGCGAGCCTTCCTGTGGGCATGGGCTTCTGAAAGATATACTTTAAAGGATCCAGGCGAGAAATGAGGTAAGTAGTGTAGGATGACAAATAATGCTTCAACTTATGTGCTACCCAAGTCAGGGCACAACATGTCCTTTTAAGGGGGTATACGTAACCTCATAAGATGTGAACTTCTTGCTGAGATAATAAATGGCTTGATCTTTCCTGCAAGTTATGTCATGCTGACCCAACACACAACCAAATGAGTTATCCACGACAGTCAAATAAAGAATCAAAGGTCTCCCGGGTTCCGGCGGGACCAATACAGATGGGTTCGATAAATACTCTTTGATCTTATCGAATGCTTCCTAGCACTCGTCAGTCCATTTGGCCGCAGCATCCTTCTTTAGAAACTTAAAGATGGGCTCACAAGTCATCGTGAGATGAGCAATAAACCTGTTGATGTAGTCCATCCTCCCTAGAAGACTCATCACCTCGGTCTTGTTCTTTGGCGGTGGTAATTCCTAGATAGCCTTGATTTTTGACGGGTCCAACTAAATGCCCCGCCAACTGACTATGAACCCCAACAGTTTCCCAAATGGAACACCAAATGCACACTTTTCAAGGTTGAGCTTTTGATTGTACTTGCGGAGCCTCTGGAAAAACTTTCTTAAGTCTCTAACGTGTTCAGACTGTTTCCTGGACTTTACGATCATATCATCCACGTAAACCTCAATCTCCTTGTGTATCATGTCGTGAAATATGGTTGTCATTTCCCTCATGTAAGTTGCCCCAGCACTTCTCAAACCAAAAGGCATGACTTAGTAGCAATATGTTCCCCACAGTGTGATGAATTCCGCCTTTTCTTCATCTTCCTCATCCATTAAAATCAGATGATACCTCGCATGGCAGTCCACAAAAGACCTAATCTCATGCTTGGCACAATTATCAATCAAAATGTAGATATTTGACAGTGGGAAATTGTCCTTTGGACTTGCTTTGTTGAGGTCACGGTAGTCAATACACACTCTGGTCTTACCATCTTTCTTTGGTGCATGCATAACATTGGCTAACCACGTGGGATACCGCGTGAATCGAATGACCTTTGCATCAAGCTGCTTTGTGACTTCTTCTTTAATCTTCACACTCATGTCAGTTTTGAACTTTCTCAACTTCTGCTTGATGGGAGGAAATGCTGGATCAATTGGCAATTTGTGGACCACCAAATCGGTATTCAAGCCTGGCATGTCATCATACGATCATGCAAAAATATCCTTATATTCAAACAATGCTTTAATTATTTCTTCCCTGATTTGCGGTTCAAGATGGACACTTATCTTAGTTTCTATGACATTATCTGGATCCTCTAGATTGATTGCTTCCATTTCATTCAAATTAGGCTTGGGTTTTTCTTCAAAATGATTTAGTTCCTTACTAATCTCCTCAAATGCCTCATCCTCATCATATTCTGATTCATCATCGCACTCTATTTCTTGGATTATTATTTCAGAATTAGACTGAATTTTAAGACTTGGCCGAATATTCCTCATGCATGTCATGTCATTGAAACCAGCATAAAAAGAACTGTACATAGAAGAAATAAAACAAAAATAAAACTATCAAGAATGATGGAAAAAGGAAATTGCATTTCATTGAAAATAAAGGATAACAGGGTTTGTACATCAAACAAGCAAAAAATAAAAATCTGGGTCATAACCCTGGAATGACCCAGATAGAAAGGAAAACAAAACAAACTACAAGACTCCTTTTGAGTAGGGAGAGGAGTAACCTTCCAATTGTTAAGCTTTACATTCGACCCGACGAACTGCACGTCTGATTTGCTAGAACCTTCTCCAACTTCCGCCATGTTTACATCATCAAACAACCTTGGAAACCTTTTAATTAATTCTTCATCAATATCAATCACAGAACTTGCACTACAAAAAAAATAGCGTTTAGCGACGGATTTTAGCGACAAGCCATATTCCGTAGCTAAATGACGACGGATTAGCGAGGAATTTTATTGTTTGTCGCCAAATAAGCTACAAAAAATTTAGTATCAAATATAGCGATGGATTAGCGACAAAAATTTACATCCGTCGCTAAAAATGGGCGCTAAAAAATGGCGCCTTTATTTACCTACAAAATTAGCGACGAAAGTGGGGCGACAAAAATTATTAAAAAATAGCGACGGATTTAACGATAAAAAACTTTGTCGCTGCGTTTATCTTACTTATCAAAACATCCCAAATTTAATTGCAATGAAAATTCCGTCGCTAGATTTGTAGAAATAATTTTGCCCAAGTTATTATTAGCGACAGAATTATGTCCGTCGCTATTTCCGTCGCTGTGTCTTTTTAAAGTTAATGTTTATCTAGGGCACAAATCTGCTTACAGACTCACATTCTCTCTCTCTCTATCAAACTCGCCCACTTTCTCGCATCTTCAATAATGTGATATTCTTTCTTTCTTCCAATTCAACAAATTAGGCGTGAATCTAAGGCTCATATACAATGGGAACATAGATATCCATATTTTTTTCTTCTAATTTTGCTGGTTCATAGCTATTCCTAGGTTGTTTGAACATGCCATCAAATGGGTGTTTCTTCAAATGAGTCTTTTGGTGAGTTCAAGATTACTTTTTTCCACTATCTTTTAATTTTATATACATTTTTTAGTTCTACCACTTGTATAGAATTTGATGGATACTTTGAATACTTCTTTAACCCTCTGGATCTAGTATTCTCTTTGTTAATCTTTTGATTTGGACGATTACGTAGTGGACCCCAACTATTTTAGAATTGAGTTGTGTTGTATGGCTGTGTTGAAATACTTTTTGGTTCTAGTAATTTTGTTGAATTTAACAACAGCTTATTTACTTTTAAAGATGCTATTATTTTTTGGACAAGGTAATAATGCTGCTTTAATCTTCTGGATTTGGTATTCTATTTGTTAATTTAGATCTTAGTTCAATTCTAAGTTAGATTTAGACTATGTGATATATAGCTGGCAAATTTATACTTCCTCCTATTTTCTTGATTTGGTTCTACATGTGCTGTAAGTTTGCTTCAATTTTATGTCTTTCGGTGAATGGGGTATTAAAAGGTGCTCTATATTATCGGGTTATTATTTGAGCTTCTATTCATGGCTTGTGTTTACTTATTTTTTGTTGTAATCTTTTATTGTTCTCATTATTGTAGATTAAATTGATATGATTTTCATGCTTCAATGGCTTGTTGATACACATTTACTCTAGTCTCTTTCAAGTTAGATATTGTATATGAAATTATTATTATGCTTTATCTCATAAACACTATGAGATTGAATGCAACTTTTTTGAAATATTCTTTCAGGATTTTGTAGTGCAAGTGAAAGACGGATTTGCACCTTGAAGTTCTTTGTTAGCTATCTCGATGGTATTTTTACAATGAGTACTATTATTAAATGATGGTTAAAGTTCATCTAGTTGACTATTATTAATCTCAAAAGGAAAAAAGTTGATCTACTTGATTGTCATGTTCTGTTTGTAGTTTGGCCTATTATTTTATGATTTTTTGTTATTTTCCAGTTATGCAATCTTGAAAATGATCTAAGGTTCTCATTCTTTCCCAAAAGGAAGGATCAACAGGTATTGCTGATTTGGCTGCCAATTACATTAGAGAAGCTTGTGACAACATGTATTTAAATAGAGACATTGATTAATTTTCTTTCATCCTTTCAATTTGCTTTTGTGGACCATAAAATTATATAAATTGATACTTATCTGCCCTGCAAAAAAAAATTTGGAATGCATTAATAACCTCCCATCATTTTCCTATTATGCTACAAGTCTTCAACATCTTGCTACAACACTCATTTTAAAATGTTTCAGTGCAAGTCATTTACATATTAAATGTATTATGAACGCATTAGAGATCCCAATTTCTTTACTGTTTCCTGATGCGTATATTGGTTGCATTGCTTTGTTTAACAATGGATTACTGTTTCTTAACTCTTTCATCATTACAGTTTGCTTTCGGACGCTTCTTACTATTTCTCCCACGGGGTTAGTCTATGCTTGTACTATTGTTTTTTTATATATTGTTATTGATATATGATATACCTTGAAATACTGCCTTCTAATTTGTTCAGGTTAGAACCTTCAAGAGAATGCTCTGAGTGTATAACTAATTCTTTCAAGCATGAAATTAATTCTAATGGAATCAACTGGAAAAGCGTCTCGGATGAGACAAAAAGATTTTATTTTGGAGAATTCAAGGTATAATCCATCACTATTGAATTTATAAAGTATATTAACTTTTATATGTATTGTTCTCTTCCTTGCAAATGAGCAGACCCGACTTAGTATTCCTGAAGAACTTGAACCGGTAGGTTTTATATCATGTTATACCTTTAATAGAAGTTATATTTGGATATGGATGCATCTCATGATTTTACTTTCTCATGTTGTTAAATCTTATATCAGTAAGAAGTTTTATTATCCCTCTATAGCTGTATTGAAAAAAGTCATTTGTCTAAATGGAAAGATGTAATGTACTTGTAAAAATCGGAGCTGATATCATATCGTATCCTATGTTAGTTATGCTTCTTTTATCTTATTTGAGAAATCTTTTTTATTGTAGTTGGTTACTGAGTTTTAGCTGTGAGAAATCGCAGTTTTGGTTGTAATTAAAATGGTAAATTTACATAAAGATGCTGTATAGGCTGTGATTTGGTGGTGTTTGATTGTAGTGTAGCTCGAAAATATTTTGTCTTCTACTTTCTGCGTCTTTTAGAAAAGGTTGGGAAGAACTGGAGAAATAAGAATTCTTCTTTATGAGATAATATTTCAGCTGTTTTATTTATTTAGACGATGTGAGAGGTGACACATTATCGATACCTTCATTAATTTATTTCTAAGTCCAGATCTGTGTATCTCTAATTTCTAGATATTTTGATGAGGCTGCTGTACAGAAGGTCTTCTTGAAGTCCCTTGATAACTATATCAAGTGGCGCAACTATATGAACATCCCACCTGTGTGGAGCAAGTAAGGTTTCATGTTCAACGTGTTTTGATCGTGCACTGTAAAATTATTTCATCTTAATAGAACTGTAGTTTTTCTACTTGGAAAGATATTTTCATCTTAGTATAGTCAAAAACTGCCATTGATACTGTAACTGATATTTTTGTGCTCTGAGTTTCTGATACTATGCTTGTGCTTTTGCAGTTTGGATGTAGTTAGCAAGGAGAAGAAGTTGTTATTCATTTCTTTGTATTTCTTAATCTGGGGTGAAGCTGCTAACATTCGGTTCATTCCAGAATGCTTGTGCTACATATTCCATCATGTATATCAATTTGGTGTACCTTTTGTCTCTTGACCATTTTAGAAATCTTTTCAATTTGATGATCTCCATTCTCCTTTGTCTTCTTGTGATAATGACCTGTCAGTATATTCTAAGTTTGTTCTTTAAGTGTAATTTGCCCTTTGTCTCCAGGGCATTCTCTTTGGTGGGAGGGTATGTAGGATTATGGGATAAGAGGGTGCACTATAAATTTCTTAAGATGAAAGGGCAAAAACCATAAGAGAGAAGCCATAATTATGATTACTTCATCCCAAACGTTTTGATCTTACTTTTTCTTTGCTTGGAACAATTAATTTTACGACAGATGGGAAGGGAACTGGAGGAGATACTATGACAGCAGGGTGCACATCATCAGCTTGTTTAGTTTCTGGTTGTTGATCCTTTGCTCATAGACCATTTCATCCTCCAAACTGCAGTTTATACACAGCTGATAAATCCAAAAGTGACAACAAAATCGAATGTGGTTACTATAGACGAAGTAGATGATAGAATTTACCTTTCTGTTTTTGATGAAGCTGAAGCAGGCAGAAGCATATTGGCTAGTGTTGTAGCATCTTTACTACAAACTATAAAAGTGTGCATGAACAGCTAAAAAAGGTTACAAAGTGTGCATGAACATCATCTTTACTCATATTGGCTAGTGTTGTAGCATCTTTACTACAAACTATAAAAGTGTGCATGAACAGCTAAAAAAGGTTACAAAGTGTGCATGAACATCATCTTTACTCATATTGGCTAGTGTTGTAGCATCTTTACTACAAACTATAAAAGTGTGCATGAACAGCTAAAAAAGGTTACAAAGTGTGCATGAACATCATCTTTACTCATATTGGCTAGTGTTGTAGCATCTTTACTACAAACTATAAAAGTGTGCATGAACAGCTAAAAAAGGTTACAAAGTGTGCATGAACATCATCTTTACTCATATTGGCTAGTGTTGTAGCATAAGAATGGTTACCTCATCATAAGTTTGTCACAATGCTAAAAGAATCTTTGTAATCCAGTTATTTGTTAGATACCTCTAGAACTCCATACAAGTAGCTACAAACTTGCATTGTGACAAAACTAGAGAATACCAAATTGTTCCTTGCTTCGTTGTATTTCAGGTGAAATCCTATCAAGAAATGTTCTAATGGATATAAATTTGATTTACCTTTGGTAGTTAATTTGCTAAGTCATGAATATTTTGAAAGTTTTTTTGAGTTAAGATCTTAACAAACGCAAGTGATGCTCTTCATTGCCTCAAATGCATGTGTGTTAGACAATTGAATTATCTTACTAGGCTACTAGCTGAGGAATCTCATTACAATATCATGGATGTATGTCAAATGACAATTAACTTCAAATTGTTGCAACAATACCATGAACTTATATGCTCTGTGTATTAAGCTCTAACTTGTGTCCCCGTGCTTTTGGATTTCCTCAAGTATACTAATTATTAACGCTTCTACAGATGTGGCACCTACAGTTCCTTCCTCTTCTGCTGCTGCTAACATTGATGAGGTTCATGCATTGGGTTCTGGCGATGACCATGACTCTCCAGCCTCGCATAGTTAGCCTATTTTGTTTAGACTTTATATTGTTGGTGCTTGTGGATGTTTTGTACTTAACGATACAATTGTATGCATTATACTATATATTATGGTCCTTGTTGAATGTTAATTTATATTAATATCTGTGACTTTAATTAAGTATATTTAATAGCATTTATGTAATATGCTTGAACAGGGTACATTTAAAATAATAAATAATTTTTTTTAAAAAAATTAGCGACAGATATGTTTCGTAGCTAAAATTACAGCACTAAATTAAATATTGCGACGGATTGGCAACAAAAAATTTTTATCGCTGAAACCAGGAAGAACTAGCGACGGATTGTTTCGTTGCTAAAAAGAATAAACGACGAATTTTGTTATGAAGTGTAGCGACAAAATTAGTCAAAATAGCGATGACACAAAGCAAAATAGCGACGGATATTTTGGTCGCAAAATTTGGCTACAGATATATTTCATCGCTAATCCGTCGCTAGATCTGCGACGATTTTGTATTTTTCGTCGCTATGAGCTTAGCAACGAGCATTTTAGCGACCAACTTGAATCCGTCCTGAATTCGTCGCTAAACTCTTTTAGCGACGGAAATAACATCTACAGTGACGGAATACGTCCGTCGCTAACCGCTGTTTTTTTTGTAGTGTTGAAACTATTATTACTGGGAGTTTCCTGGCACCGGGCTTGGAAAAAGACCTGGAGAGACATGTGATAGGCTTCGGAAGTTCCCACACCTTCTGTTTCAACCTTCTAGACCTTTTCACATCTGCCGTTGTGGGTTTGAATCTAAGACCGAACGTACCCAAGTTTTCAGGGAGGGACACTGGTTGTATGATACCCTACAAGGATGCACCCAGACCTTTACCTAGCACAAAGCTATTTTTCAGCATTTTAGAGGCCACCATGATGGATGTAGAGGCTATCTTTGGAGTTGGAACACGTTTCCCTTCTAGAACCTTCTCGACCGGTACTATTTCAAAAACTTGATAGACCTAAGGCCCTTTGTCATCTTCAGCCTCAATGAACGAGACGGAGGCATCACTGTGAGCACACAAATTCTCCTCACCATGCACGATGATCTCCTGTCTATCCCACTCGAACTTGACCATCTGGTGCAAAGTGGACGGGACTGCCTTGGCGACATGTATCCAAGGCTGACCTAATAGCAAATTGTAAGAAACGGCTATGTCCAGTACCTAGAAATCCATGGTGAATTCCATCGGTCTTATTATCAATTGAAGCACTATATCACCAATCGAGTCTTTTTCTCCACCGTCAAAACCTCGGACGCATATGTTGTTTTTGTGAATTCTATCATCATCAACTTTCAACTTGTTCAGAGTAGAGAGAGGGCAGATGTTTGTACTGGAACCATTGTCGACTAACACCCTGGTGACCAAGATTCTTCACATTTTACCGTAAGATAGAGAGCTTTGTTGTGTTCAGTACCTTCCATAGGCAATTCGTCATCAGAGAAGGTGACCATGTTTACCTCAAATATTTTGTTGGCGATCTTCTCTAGATGGTTCACCAAAATTTTGTCGGGGACACGAGCTTCGTTCAGAATTTTCATCAGGGCCCGACAATGCTCATCATAATGGATCAACAATGATAGCAAGGAAATCTGAGCGGGGCATCTTTCTCAGCTGCTCCACGATGGAGTAATTTGTACCTTCATTTTCCTCAAGAACTCCTTCGCCTCTTCTTCAGTGACTACTTTCTTTACCAGAACTGGATTATCTCTGGATGTTTTAGTTTTCCTTAACTTTTCCGGGGCAAAACATCTCCCCAAACGAGTTAATCCCCGGGTTTCATTGACTTCTTCTTTCACTTTCTTTACCTTATAGGTCATTATCACCCATTCATAGTTCCATGGGATAGCCTTGGTGTTGATTACCGCCAACTAGGTTATAGGCTTGATGATGACAGGGTCCGTACGGGCACCTTCTACAATTATGATAGGCTTATTTGCCAACCCTAGCAAGACTACTTTTGACTTTTCTTGCTTTGCTACAACATCACTTGGGGATCTTTTCTCAACTACCACAGATGGCTCACTGTTTGTCATGCTCAACTTGTTCACTGATCAAACAACCGTTGGTTTTTTGACTGGCTTGACCTCGCTAGACCAAATCATCATAACGGATTGTGAAGGCTTCTTGGGTTCCCCCTCCTTGTGTACTATCTCGATCATGTTTGTTTCCTCATGGGTTGGCAATGGGTTCTGATTGGTATTGGGTGCCTCTGGAGTTTGGACTTCAATTCGATTTGTGTCGATGAGCTCCTGGATGGAATTTTTCAAGTGCCAGCATTTCTCCGTATCATGCCCCGGAGTACTAGAACAATATGCACAACTCAAGGAGTAATCAAGATTCTTTGGAGGAGGGTTTGGAAATTTCAACTCAATTGGCCTCAGCATATCCAACTGCCTCAATCTTAGGAATAAACTGGTATAAGACTCCCTCAATGGGGTGAAAGTTTTTTTCCACTACAACCTCTCATTTTTGAACGCTGAATTGGGTCGGAAACCCGGGCCGGTAGGGTTTCGGTAGGCTCATGGGGGTGGGTAAGCATTTTGTGGAGCTGGGTAGGTGTTTTGTGGGGCTGGGGCACTCCATTGCGAGTAGGAAGGAGGTTGAGTATATGACTGGGCATGGTGGACAGAAATCTGGGGGTCTGGTGATGAGAAGTAATGCTGGGTTGGATTATATGGGGTTTGGGTGTAGGTTCGGTGATAGGGTCGAGGCTGAGTATAATGGTGTGATGGGCCCGTGGGTCCAAACCATGATCCTAAATCAACTGTTGCCACATCTTCTTTCTTCTTCCTTCCGATCACTCCTCCAGTATCATTCTAAATGGCTTGGGTAGTTGCTTTGATGGCTGAGTAGCTCATGAGTTTGCTTGATTTAAGCCCTTCTTCCACCATGCCACCCATCTTCACTACCTCGTTGAAACATTTGCCTATAGCTGATATCAGATGGCCAAAGTAAGTAGGCTCCAAAGCATGCAGAAAGTACTCCACCATTTCACATAGCACATAGGATGCATCAGGATGGTCTGTTATTTTGAATATTTTCCTAGACGGACCCAACCCCTGTGTTGAGTCCCCTAAGTCAAATGCACATGATGCAAACAAACGTTCCTACTAGGGATCCGACATGAGGCTGTGTTTTTCTAGGTTTAAATCCTGGGGTTGTGTTCTAGACCTGGCTTACCCAAGCGGACAACTCGAGCCAAAGAGAGGGTAATGTACTGGGATCACTAAGTCTACCCGACCTCGTTGCTGGCCCAGCCCCGTTCTTATTTGGAATAACTTCTACAGAAAAAGAGGGTCACATGAACATGTGCACCATTTTCAGAAGACTCATAGGGGTGACATAAGAAGGCAGTTATATACAATTCAGA